TTAAATGACTGATTCTACATATTTTTTGTTTTTGTTTTTCAATGTCCTCAACTGGTTGATTGAATATATTTAACTCTGGAGTGTGGCCACACTCTTCATCTGCATGATGGTTTTTCTGGGGTGGGGAGGAATTTTTTTCTCAGTTGACATGTAATAATTTTCATTTTCTTTTATTTTTATAATACCTACATATGGATTTATCAAGTTCCCCTTTTTACCTTTTTGTGATATTAGGATGTCTTACAAAACTCCTAGTTTAACAGTACCTCTTTTGCCAAATACTTTGAAGTCCAGATGTTTTAAGATACTTTTTTCTTTTTGTTTTGCTAGTGGAAGGAGAGGTTGTAAGACTTTGATTTTGTGTTCACTTTGGCTTGTAGGCACCTAAAACTTACCCATGTGCTGCTTCTTCACCACTTAAATGCCAAAGAGAGCTTGTTTCCTTTTTACCTTTTATCTTAATCCTGAAGCTATGCATTTAGATGACTACTCTGAAAATTATTCATAATATTAAAAAACTTCACTGTAGTCTCTGTTCTGATCTATCATATTCATACGTACACACACACATAATTAATTTTAAACTTAGCGTGGAATTAGTCTTTCCAACAGTACAGGTCAACCCTAGGTCCATTTGCTAGCTTCCATTTTCTGTGTTTTCTACAGATCTGCTTGGTTGGCCTTTGCTCATCACAAACCCTTGATAAGGGTTGGGAGTAGAGATGGAGTGTGAGAAATAACATGCTGGGAAATGGTGATTTCTCTTTTTATTTACAATTATTTTCAAGTTTGAGCATCCTCTGTCTTCAAGTTATGCTGTGAGCATGGTTTGTGTATAGATTTCTTATACCCTTCTTGTAGTTCTACACTGTTTTTAGAGGACATACTGGGAGACAGGTAAGTGGTTACCACTGTCTTCAGCTACCCAGAAGAACATTTAAAAGTTTAATTAAAACAACGATCTAATAAAATTCTATAAAGCAACACAGATTTTAAAAATTCAATAATCTTGTCATGGGAAGGTCTTTCTTCTAATAAGCATGACTTCAAAAAGTCATAAGAGGAAAAAAACTCAACAGATTAAAAAAAATTATAACTGACATAAAATTTACTTCAGACTAAAGTTAAAAACTGATAAAACAGCTTCTTACAACAAAAGGGTTCATTTACCTAGTAATAAAAAGCTCTCATGAACAAATAAGGAATAATCCAAGTAGAAAAATGGGCAAGAGATAATAAGAAATATTATAAACGGCTAACAAACGGATAATAAGAAAAATAAACCCTCCATAAAGCATATGAGAACATGCACAGGTAATTTAAAACGAGATTTCATTATAATGTGTCAGATTAAGATGACTAACCTATCAGGTGATGAGCAAGGTGTTTAGAAACAGGCATTCCCAATCACCAGTGGTTACTCAAATTTGTAGAAATACATATGTAATAAAAGTATTTGATAGAACTTATCAAAACAGTAAACATTACTTATAAACATGTATACTTGGACCAAGCATTTTTATGAATTCTAAATAATTTCACCTAAAAAATACACTTAGGTATCAAAGATTTATGCTATTACAAAATGTTCAGTACAATTTTGTATTTCAAAGGATGTAATAATAGTGAAAAACTGAAAAAAAAAATCAAGATTCATCAATATGGTGGAATAAAAACAAAATCCTCAGAAACTTCAGGAACAAAAATCTTAAAATTATTTTAGATTATTTTCTCCTATAACTCATAGAGCATTTTTAACTATGCTGATCATCAAAAAAATACTGTTTTGGAATTTAAAAATTACCAATCATAAATATATACACTTGATGTGATTATTTGGGGTGATTTTCAAAATTTTATATATACACATACTTTTTTTGTCCAAAACATTTGGGTATAAATTGAAGAGAGGGTGATTCTTGACCCTAAAATATGTCAACATGTATTTCCTAAGAACAAGAATTTTGTCTTACATAACCCCACTACAATAATCAAAATCAGTAAATCCAATATTATCTAAACCACAGTCCATGTTCAAATTTCACCAACTGTGACAACATTATCATTTATAGTTACTCCCCTCTCCTGCCTCCAAGATTTAATGCAAGATAAAAAGCACTGTATTTAGTTATATCTTTTTTCTCTTTTAATATGAAACAGTTCCTCAGTCTTTCTGTGATGTTTCTTGACACTGGGATATTTAAAGAGTATAGGACCTCAACTTTTAGAATGTCTTCCATTTGGTTTGTCAGCTATTTACTACTGATTAGCTGCAGGCAGGCATTTCTGGCAGGAATATGTCTCAGAGGTGATGTTCTGTCTTCCTCAGGGCATCATATCATGAGTAGTGTATCACTTTTTGCCTATATTGATGGTGGTAGCAATAATTTTTGTTATAGTGGTTTCCTCCACGTTTCCCCATCAGAAATTTGGTAATTTTTCCTTTCATAAATGATTTGTGGGGAGATACAATGAGACTACGTAAGTATCCTGTTTCTCAACAAACATTAGTCACAAGTTTTGGCATTCATCAACGATTTTCTAACTTAATCATTCCTTCTAGACTTATTAGTTGGCATTAGGAAGAACTCTTCCTTTTCATTCATTCATATCATTAGAAATTAACAAATTCTTTATTATACAGTAGGGTACCATCAATCACTACACATTTTTATTTGGATTCTCAAACTGTCCCAGATTTGGCCAATGGGAGTCCCTTCAATCTCGTTCCTCTGTCCTTCTGCCAGGTCCCTATAATTCTCTGAATATTTCTTTATAAGGTAGATGATGGAAGTATTTCATATTTTGACAGAGGAAGGTTTTAAGTGGCATACATCTGTAATATCAATAAATTGTACACTTAAAATATGTGTGTATGTTAATACTCTAGATAGTAGTGCTTTCTACATTGTTATGAGCAAGCAATTTTAAAACTGTCTTAGGTGTCAGTAAATGTTTTGATGATGATGGAAACCAAGTTTCTCACTATTAGTGAAAGGAGATACAAATAAGCAAAATGAGAAGAACAGAATAAACTCTAGATTTTAAACACAGGTACACAGAAACAAAGAAATAAATACAGAGGTGTATATATGTGTGTATGTATGTGTATACATACACTCACACGTACATTTTCTAGCTCTGTTCAGTGAAAGGCCCTACAAGCAACGAAGCACCTGGAGCAATGAAAACAGCTGGCTGCCAGATCTTCGTTTCTAAATACTGCTTTAGAAACAGAAAAGGCTAACTCCCAGTTTGGGGCAAGAAAAGTACAATTCCTCCCTTTAATCTAAAAAGAATATTAATTGTTAATAAATTTAGTAATTAACTTAATATCTTAAACTGTACATTTAAAAATGGCTAAAATGGGGTCTTCCCTGGTGGCGCAGTGGTTGAGAGTCCGGCTGCCAGTGCAGGGGACACAGGTTCGTTCCCGGTCCGGGAAGATCCCAAATGCCGTGGAGCGGCTGGGCCCGTGAGTCATGGCCGCTGAGCCTGCGCATCCGGAGCCTGTGCTCCACAACGGAGAGGCCACAAGAGTGAGAGGCCCGTGTACCGCAAAAAAAAAAAATAATAAAAATAAAAATAAAAATGGCTAAAATGGTAAATTTCATATTAAGTGTATTTTACCACAATGAAACAAGACAAAAAAACAATGTACAAGGTGGATGGAGCTTAATCCACGTATAATTTATAGTCCACCCTCTGTATTCATAGATTCAACCAACCACAGACTGTGTAGTAGTGTAGTATTTACTACTGAAAAATATCTGAATGTAAGTGTACTGAGCAGTTCAAATTCATGTTGTTTAAGGGTCAACTGTATATGAGAACACTATGGCAAAAGCACTATTTTTTTCCCGTAAAGTATGAGAAATATAAAATAAATCAACAGACAAATAACAGAAAACAGTACTGCCTGAGGCAGTTTTCTTGCCATGTCCCTCAATGCATTTATTTAGAGGAAAGGGTTCTGAGAACTTAACAGATATGCCATGTATACCAACACTTAAAGAAAATAAATGTAAAACAATACATAGTCTAAGCCTTGAACAAACCTGAAAACAAATAACATTCACTGAATGTTTACTATGCAGATAGCACCCTGCAATACTATGGAAGACACAAACAGAACAAGAAATAATCTTTGCCTTTTAGGAGCTTAAAATCAGTGGTTTATATGAAATTTAGGACACTAAGCTCACGATAACGTAGATGACCCAGTTTAGGGAAGAGAAAACAGAACCTACCTGAAGATGTCAATCTGACTGTAACACCATGAAATGGAAAAGTGGTTTAGTTTTGAGCCCTGATATTCAAAGACTTCATTAAGAATTCAACCTCGTTTCTCAAGTTTAAATCAAATCAGATGACATGATCATTTACATGAGATGCTAGTAGGACAAAGAGTCCATTCAGTATTAACTATTTTCTAGTAAGGTCATCTCAGAACAAGGCAAAAGGCCGCTGTGTTCTGGATTCTTCAAATGGTAAGGAGAAAAAGTCTTATTTTCTACAGTTACATCAACTGCCTAGCTTTCTCAGGAAAAAGTAAAGAATTATTCCTTAAATATACTCTGAAAGTAAAACTATTAAGATCTAAACCATTTCTTACTTGGATATAACTGTATCTCTTTTTTTCTACCTCTTTCCTTCAAGTCCAGGGTACAGAACATGGATGCTCAAAGATTATTAACTAAATTGAACAGGAAAATCAGGATCCCCTTTCAGAGCTCTTATTTAAATTTTCTGATAGAAGTAGTAAAAGAAATTACCAAATTTGCAACATTTTATATATAATTGCATCCCTTTCAAGGATCAGAAAAAACTTTAAAGTGGATGAAAATGTATCGAACTTGGTAAATAGTTTGATGCTACTTAGTAAAATATTTAAAAAGTCACAGTAACGGAACCTCCTTGAGTGTTTAAAAGCCTACTACATTTAAAGTTGAAAATGAAGCATATCAAAAAACAGTTTCAGTATTCTTTAAAATTCTTACCACAATCATTTCTGAAGGCTCTAATACAAGACAATCACAGCCTCTTTTTCCTCCAAACTGCTTACCAAAACTATAAAAACAGAAAAATAATTTCTTTAGCAAAGGTTATAAATAAAATGCATCAATATAGAAAAAATGAACCAAAAAACCCCTACATGTTAACCAAGAAATTCTGATCCTATCAGGTACACTAATAAGATTTTTTAAAAAAACAAAAACTTCCTTTTACTTGCCGAGATATATATAAGAGTTCTTAATACACAGTTGTGTCATAATTATTTTTAAAATTCTTCCTTTAACTAGTCTCTAAAACTGATTATAAAAGATATCTGCCTAATCTCAAATTTTGAACATCTATTAATATGTGTTGAATTCAGGTAAAAACCACACTTACTAAAGAGTGAAGCCACAATTATGGAATATTTTTGAGTGATATTAGATAACAGATAGAAAAAAAACTTTAAAAATACTTACACTTGAATATACTAAAAAATGTAGTGAGACGTAGAAGTGGTTTATTTTTAAAAAACAGTGTTGGAGCCACTGGCTAGCTCTTTGGAAAAAATTAAAACTGCAGTAGTACTAAAAGAAAATTTGAGTATTTTTATGTTATTTGTCTGAGAGAATGATTTCTAAGCAAACCAAAAGAGAAAGCACTCATAAAGGAAAAAATTGATGTTTTCATTTTAAAAGACGAACTGAATTTTTTAAAAGGTGGGATATGAAAAAAATACTAGAGACACAAAAGGTCAACATACTTAATACGCAGAGTGTACATAAAATAAATTATAAAAGCACTCTAAAATATTACAAAATGGAAGTACCATGGCTAATTATAAAATATATTAATATTATTACAAAAATAATTTTAAAATTCCAATAATAACACAAGCAAAACTATAAAATATAAATAAAGAAATATAAAAAACTACACAATTTTATTGATGGACTGAAAACAGAGCTTAATAAAAGAAGTGATATAACATACACTTACAAAGAAACTCAATATTATAAAAATGTCAATTCTCCACAAAGTATAAGGTTACATACAAATACTAGTTTATAGCCAAATCCTAATCAAAATCCAAATGAACTTACTTTTGAACATAGCAAAAAAGTCACTGCTGTTTTTTCTTAAGCAGTAGCCTGTATTATTTTTATATTTTCCCCAAAATATTCCTACCTCATCTAATACATAAAACAATGAAAAGGAAATTTGCAAAAGTCTGCTTTCATTCAAGATGGAATAACAGGGACTGGATTTACTCGCCTATGTGAAAAAACGGGAAAATCAGACAAAACATATTAAACAACAGTTTCAAGACTTCGGAAAGCAGGCAGGACAGGGATGTGATTCCTTACAGAGGGAATTAAAAAACTAAAATGACCCCTACAATATTCCAATTTTACTAAGTACAGGCAATGTCTAGGCCACAATGCAAGAAGGGAGAAACCTAACAGAGCCTGCCAATCTCACTGAATTGAAGAGACAGAGACAGTTTTGGGGTGCAGGTGATGGAGGAAAGATCTCTAACATTTATAGGGCAGGATAAAGGAAAGGAGGGAGCAGCAGAGAGGGAGAGGAAGAGAGACAGAAAGAACAAGAATGTGCATGAGAGGGCATGCATGAGTGCACATATGTGCTCTGGTGATCTTCAGGAAGGTTCCATTGAATCTTTGGGTGAATAATATGAAAATGTGAGAAAAATACAAATACGAGCCACAGTGGAAAGACCACATAATACATGGAGCATTGGGTGGAATCTTCAGAAATCCATTTCCTTTGTAATGTGATAAGTTAGCCCTACATTAAGGAAGTGCTGGACTCATTCAAACAAATATGAAGACTCAAAATGGATTCCAATTAGCTAAACTACATGTCAGAAGAAAGCCTAATACTACCTAAAGAAATACAACAAAAGCTGGAACCCAGCAACATAAAAGTTGCAAAGTCTGACATCCAGTAAAGCAAAACAAAAAACAGGCATGCAAATAGGAATATATAATCCACAGCCAAAGAAAAACCAATCAATAAAAACAGAACCAGAGCTGTCAGCAGTGAGGGAATCAACAGACAAGAACACTGAAACAACTATTTCTAAGTATGCTCCAAATGTTTAAGAAACTAGAGATAAACATGAATACAACAGAGAAACAGAAGCTTAAAAAAAAAAAAAAAGACCTAATGGAATGTTCTACCACATCACATATGTAGACACAATGTCTGGTTTTCCCATTTTTTAGTAGTGTTAAAAATCGTTGGGCTTCCCTGATGGCTCAATGCTTAAGAATCCACCTGTCAATGCAGGGGACACAGGAAAATCCCACATGCCACAGAGCAACTAGACCCGTGCGCTACAACTACTGAGCCTGCGCTCTAGAGCCCGCAAGCCACATCTATTGAGCCCACGCACCACAACTACTGAAGCCCGCACACGTAGAGTCCATGCTCCATAACAAGAGAAGCCACCGCAATGAGAAGCCCACGCACAACAAAGAGTAGCCCCCACTGGCCACAACTAGAGAAGCCCGCGCACAGCAATGAAAACCCAACGCAGTCAAAAACAAATAAATAAATAAAAAATCGTGAGTGGTTTCAGACAATGTCAACTTGATATGTTCATTATAAAGTTTCCTCTCAAATTTCCATCTGTTAGTTTTAGCATCCATTTTTGATCAGTGACTAGACCTAAAGTATTATCAGGGGCTATTGAAAAAGGCATTTTATAATTCTAATTATTCCTACTGAATTTTTTTAAACATCTTTATTGGAGTATAATTGCTTTACAATGGTGTGTTAGTTTCTGCTGTACAACAAAGTGAATCAGCTATACATATACATACATCCCCATATCTCCTCCCTCTTGCGTCCCCCTCCCACCCCCCCATCCCACCTCTCTAAGTGGCCAAAGCACCAAGCTGCTCTCCCTGTGCTATGCAGCTGCTTCCCACTATCTATCTATTATACATTTGGTAGTGTATATATGTCCATGCCACTCTCTCACTTCGTCCCAGCTTACCCTTCCCCCTCCCCATGTCCTCAAGTCCATTCTCTATGTCTGTGTCTTTATTCCTGTCCTGCCCCTAGGTTCTTCAGAACCATTTTTTTGTTTTGATTCCATATATATGTGTTAGCATACAGTATGGAGGTTCCTTAAAAAACTAAAAATAGAAGTACCATATGACCCAGCAATCCCACTACTGGGCATATACCTAGAGAAAACCATAATTCAAAAAGAGTCATGTACCACAATGTTCACTGCAGCACTGTTTACCATAGCCAGGACATGGAAGCAACCTAAGTATCCACTGACAGATGAATGGATAAAGATGATGTGGCAGGGCTTCCCTGGTGTCGCAGTGGTTGGGAGTCCGCCTGGCGATGCAGGGGACACGGGTTCGTGCCCCGATCTGGGAAGGTCCCATGTGCCGCGGAGCGGCTGGGCCTGTGGGCCGTGGCCGCTGGGCCTGCGCGTCCTGAGCCTGTGCTCCGCACAGGCGGGAGAGGCCGCGGCGGGGGGAGGCCCGCGTGCCGCCAAAAAAAAAAGAAAAAAAAAAAAGATGATGTGGCACATATATACAATGGAATATTCTCAACCATAAAAAGAAATGAAATTGGGCTATTTGCAGTGAGATGGATGGACCTAGAGCCTGTCATACAGAGTGAAGTCAGAAAGAGAAAAACAAATACCGTATTCCTACTGAATTTATCAGCTAGAGTGCTGATATAAAGAAACACTCCCTTGTGCACCACAACTAGAGCCTGTGCACTACAACTACTGAGCCCTCGCACCTCAACTAGAGAAACCCGTGTGCCGCAACTAAGACCCGAAGCAGCCAAATACATATTTAAAAAAAATAGCAACACACTCCCTCATCAACTATTTGAGTTCCTGGTACAATAATTTACACAAGAAAGGCATGAGAAAAGCTGCAATGGAGATGACATGATTGTATATTAAGTAAATTCTATACATTCTGTTTTTAGGGAATTCCCTGGCAGTCCAGTGGTTAGGACTTGGTGCTTTCACTGCTGTGGCCTGGGTTGATCCCTGGTCAGGGAACTAAGATCCTGCAAGCAGCATGGCATGGCCAAAATAAAACAAAATAAAGTATTAAAAGGAAAGAAATAAGTGAATTTACCAAGGTTGAAGGATACAAGCTTAATATCCAAAAGTCAACCCTTTTACTGTATGTTAGCAATGAAAAATCTGAAATATCTTTTAATTTCATTAAAGGCAGAATAAAAACACAGAAAACTTGAGATAAATTTACCAAAACATGCACAAGACCTGTACAAAACTGCCAACTAAAACACTATAAAACATTGCCAAGAAAATTAAAGATGTCCCAAATAAAATAAGATATATCCAGTTTATGGATTGAAACGTTCTACAAATTCAATATAATCAACAAGTTGCCTTAGAGAAACTGACACAATGATTCTATTTACATAAAAATGTAAAAGACCTAAAATAGCTAAACCAATTCTGGAAAACAAAAACAAAGGTGGAATATTTTCTATTTCAAGATATACTTTTATAAAGCTAGAATACTCAAGATAGTATGGCATCAGATTAACTTACAGATCAATAAAACAGGAGAGAAAACAAAATCAAACCCATATATACAAGTTCAACTGATTTTTTGACAAAAGTGCCAAGGAAATTCAATGGGGGAAAAGATATTATTTTCTATAAATGGTGATGAAACAACCAGATATCAATACAGAAAAAAAGATCTTAACACCATAAACAAAAGAAATGGGGCTTCCCTGGTGGCACAGTGGTCGAGAGTCCACCTGCCAATGCACGGGGCGCGGGTTCATGCCCCGGTCCGGGAAGATCCCACATGCCGCGGAGCGGCTGGGCCCGTAAGCCATGGCCGCTGAGCCTGCGCGTCCGGAGCCTGTGCTCCGCAACGGGAGAGGCCACAACAGTGAGAGGCCCGCATACCGCAAAAACAAACAAAACAAAACAAAAAAATTAGAAATGGATCGGAGAATATAAATGAAACAATGGAAATTATAAAATTCTCATCGCAACAGACTTTTTGTACATGTCCTAGACA